TTCCCCAGAAAAACATGCAATGCCATCTGAGCTTCCCTCCACCCAAGCTAGTGGGACAGACAGAACATGTGCCAAGCCTCCAATGAGAAGAGCAGGCAGTCTGCTAACCAGGATGACTCTGGAATTTCATAACGAACCCAGTACAGACACGAAAATCCATACACAAGGGAACCAGGATCCATCACGAAACCATAATCCGGGTTGCGCAGTAGGTAAGCCGCAAAAGCTTCCCGCACCACATGTGACGGGACGCAGGAAGCCGAAAACCTCCTGAAGGATGGGACCTAGGAACCCACGGGATCACGGAACCGAACCCCGGGGAGGGGTAGATGCCAAATCCAATTCGTACAAGGAGGGAGAAAGAGAACGCCCTCTCCTTGTAATACCAAGCCCTGCTCTGAGGATACAAAAACCCAGACGAGGGTCCAATGGGACCCAAGATCCCCCAAGTCAACCCCTCCTCCGCCTCGGGAACCTCACCCCGAGGTCCCACTCTGTCCTCTAAACCCTCTTGCCTCTAAAGAAAAGGCAGGATCAGCCGTAAAAGCAGGAACGAAGGGGGCCCACTGGTCAGACCCAGAAGCTCCGGCTAGAGGACTTGGCTTGAATGCCTCCACCGCCACCCCGGAAGGGGGACTTCCCCGACACTGCTCAAGTCTCAACACCAACTGAACCCTGCCCCGAATCCGAAACCCTCAGACATTTCGGAACTGTAAGCAGGGGGGGGGGAGTGGAAGAGAACCGGATGAACCACCAAAGGGAAAGGGCAAGGAGGGGCGGACAGAACCAAAGTCGACACAACCCCTGCCCCCAAATCCGGGTCCCTATAGCCAAAACGGGGCAGTCTTGAGGCATCTGGGGAGGTTATCTTGAGGTTATTTTGAAATGATTTCGGGGCTTTAGTGTCCCCGCGGCCCGGTCCTCAACCAGGCTTCCACCCCCAGGAAGCAGCCCGTGACAGCTGACTAACACCCAGGTACCTATTTTACTGCTAGGTAACAGGGGCATAGGGTGAAAGAAACTCTGCCTATTGTTTCTCGCCGGCGCCTGGGATTGAACCCAGGACCACAAGATCACAAGTTCAGTGTGCTGTCCGCTCGGCCGACCGGCTCCCGAACCTATCGCATTGCAGCAACCTAAACCAAGCAGGCAATGCCTCTGCTGCCAGCACCCTCATATCATGTTCAATAGCTTAGGTGAACTCGAACATGTACAAAGAACAAACATTGCACGACTCCGGGTCAAAAGAATCACCGACCCGACAGGCAGCATGGCAGAGGCACAACCGGTGATTGTCACCCTGAGACAAAAGAACAGAGCAACCATCAACCTCACATGAAGTGAGAGAGGAGTCAAGTCACATCCATCGTACCACAGAGCCCCCACGGGGTTTCCCAGGGCCCTTAGCCTTGATACCACACTAAGGTAAGCCCAGGCAGGGTTCTGTGACCCGGCACCCAAAACTACTGAGCAAACTTTTAAAGCTGAACCCCCGGGACGTTTCCACTTACTGAGGCCTAGCAGGGGATACCACCAAGAACACACACACACATCTATAGAAAGACCCGAATTATAGATAGGGGGCAACCAACCAAAGGTAGACACCCCCCACCAGGCAGGAAAACAAAAACAACAGAAAAACCTCCCGCAAGAGGACAATGTACACAGGTGGAACAGAGCTGGCCACTATAATACATGATAACTAGCTGTGCAGTACCCTGCGTCCCTACCAGTGACGAAAACCACCACCTACCCAAAGGCAAACAAGGGCAACAAACACCCCAGCTGACTCCAAGGGCGGCCAAGTACCGAGCAGTAAAAGACAAAGCGGATGTAGACTCCAAGGTGACTTGTGGAAGGTGGCCCTAAGCCCCAAGGGCAGTACTTACAGGGCACCTAGGGAAGGAAACCCTAGGTGCATGCAGCCCGAGTACCGTATAATATTACTCCTGGCTCACACATCACCTGTAGTAACAGACCACACCACAAGGCACAATAACTGGAATTAAAACAGGAGCCAGAGGCATATGACCTGCCAGTATCACATCAGCCAAGAACTGCCGGTTGGATCGCCAGCGTGAGGGTCTGGGGCTCCCCCTTCTCCCTCCCGGGGAAGGGGGGAGTTGCACAGACAGCGGCACAGCAACGTGAGCATGATGTGACATCACGCTCGTTTGCTAATTTTCGTTAGGGGAGTTCTGTCCACTCGTTCGGCTTTCAGTAGCAATATTCTAACCAGAATAGGGGTTTTGGGGCAACTATCTTTCTGGGTGCCAGACCTGGTCGATGGCACACATAAGCATACTCCCAACCACTCAGGGGTTTCTATAGGCCATGCTCCTCGTGCCTCTCTGAGGGAGCCAGGTTCTGGCTCGTGGTCCCCGGTAGGCAAGAACTCCATGCACTTTGATGCCTAAAGCTAATACAGTGGAACCCCAAGTTACGAGCATCCCTGTTTACGAGTTTTTCAAGTTATGAGCTCGATTTGTTCGGAAAATTTGTATCGAATACGAGCATTGCAATGGGTAATGAGTTTGTTGATACACGTACGGGCCAACCTAGTGTGTGGTGGCACGGCGATAACGCCTCAGTTTACCAGTTCCTCACGCCCAGTGACTATCCCACCTGAATTCTTCACAAGGATTTACAATTTTTTGTCGGATATTTGGCCATTTGACCATAAAAGTTGTTTTAATATATCTCGCAATGGGTCTCAAGAAAGCCAGTGGTAAGGTTCAAGCCAAGAAATTGCATGTGAGGATGACAATAGAGGAAAAACAAGAGATCATTCGGAAGCATGAAAATGGTACGCGTGTTGTTGAACTTTGTAGGCAGTACAACAAATCCACATCAATGATATGCACTATACTTGCAAGAAAAAGGACATTATGAGTGCTAAAGTGGCAAAAGGCGTTATCTTCAGGTTATCTCGAGATGATTTCGGGGCTTTTAGTGTCCCCGCGGCCCGGTCCTCGACCAGGCCTCCACCCCCAGGAAGCAGCCCGTGACAGCTAACTAACACCCAGGTACCTATTTTACTGCTAGGTAACAGCATATCAACAATCACAAAACAAAGACCACAAATACTTTAGGATGTGGAAAAGTTGTTATTAATTTGGATACACAACAAGGAGTTAGCAGGTGATAGTGTTTCAGAGGCCATCATTTGTGAGAAGGCCAGGGTATAGCACGAAGATCTTGTAACCCCTGGAACGAGTGCAGATATGATAGACTTTAAGGCAAGTAGGGGATGGCTTGACAAATTTAAAAAAAGGAGTGGTATTCATAGTGTTGTGAGGCATGGGGAGGCTGCCAGCTCAGACAAACCAGCAGCTGAAAGATTTATTGAAGAATTTAGAGTATGTAGAGGCTGAGGGATACCTACCGCAACTAGTTTAATTGTGATGAGACAGGACAGTTCTGGAAAAGATTGCCTAAGAAGAAATACATTACCAAGGAGGAAAAATCATTGCCCAGACACAAGCCTATGAAAGATAGGTTTACGCTTGTGCTGTGTGGAAATGCGAGTGGCGATTTGAAAATTAAACCCCTGCTTGTGTATCATTCTGAAAATCCAAGGGTTTTCAAAAAGTATGGTGTACAGAAAAACCAAATGTGTGTGATGTGGAGGGCTAATAATAAGTCATGGGTGACTAGGATTATTTTTTACGGAGTGGGTGAATGATGTGGTCTGTCCTGCCATACAAAAATATCTGCAAGAGAAAAATTTGCCACTCAAGGCCCTGCTTCTCCTCGACAATGCTCCTGCTAGTCCTCCAGGCTTGGAAGATGCATTGTTGAACAGATACAGTAATTTTCTCACAGTAAAGTTCCTTCCTCTTAATACCACTCCCGTATTTAAGCCTATGGACCAGAAAATCATAGTGAATTTTAAGAAACTTTATGAAAGGGCACTTTTCTGGAAATGTTTTGAAGTAACTGAAGCCACAAACCTCACCCTCAAAGAGTTCTGGAAACACCATTTTAACATTTGTAGTGCTTTAAAACTTGTTGACAAAGCCTGGCAAGAAGTGACTCAAAGAACCCTGATCTCTGGCAGGAGAAATTTGTGGCCTAAATGTGTGTCAGAACTAGACTTTGAGGGGTTTGAGCCTGTAAATGAAGTGCCCACTGTTGAGGAAATTGTTACTCTGGGCCGGAAAATGGGCTTGGAATTGGATGGTGCTGATGTGGAGGAGTTGGTGGAAGAACACAACGAAGAACTGACCACCAAAGAATTCCAAGCCCTTTAAAAGGAGCAGCAACAAGAGGCAGCCGAGGATATTTCTCCAGTGGAGGAGGATGAGGCAGAAGAGGATGTCCCTTTTGCAACCATTAGAAATGGGTGTCAGATGTGGGAAGAAATGCAAACTTTTATTGAAACGACTCACTCAAAGAAAGCTGTAGTAAGCCGTTGCATTAATCTTTTCAATGACAACGTGATGCCGCACTACAGACAAATGTTGCGAAGAAGGGAAAAACAATCTTCAATGGATCGTTTCGTTGTGAGAAAAATCAAGAAGTGAGCCACAACCAGGACCTAGTGGTAGGCAGGCAAAACATGCCAGAGAGTGCACTCCAGAAAAATCTTCACTGCCTGATGTTATAATGGAAGGGGACTCCCCTTCCAAACAGTAACACCTCTCCTCCCCATCTTCCATATGCCAACAGCAGTCATCAGCAAGGGTAAGTAATAACTTGAACATACTTTTGTAGTGTAGATTTTGATGAATTGGGTATAAAATTTAGTTTGAAGTGAGGTTTTTGGGAAGTCAGGAACAGATTAATTCATTTTCCATTATTTCTTATGGGGAAATTAGCTTCGGTTTACAAGTTTTCGGGTTACGAGCTGTCTCCAGGAATGGATTAAACTCTTAAACCGAAGTACCCTGTAGTTACATATCAGCCTGAATAGCTCCGGGGAGCCCTGTCGGCTCCCCCCAACCCCCAGAAAAACAGTAACTGCCTACATTGCTAATGCATGCGACAATACAACTAACCTGCAGCAAAGGCTTTTTCACTGCCAGTAAGAATAACGGCAGCAATACTGGGGTCACTTTCCAGATCTGTCAATGCCTGCTGGACTTCATTCATAAGCGGCGCACACAGAGCATTCAAGGCTTTCGGACGATTCAGTATAATCAAGCCAACACATCCAGCCTCTCCTTTCTTCTCAACCAGGATGTGTTCATACACAGGAGCTGCCAAGGAAACAACACACCTAAGAATTATACTTGGAGAAAATATTATGTACAGTAAAAAATTAAAATAATAATATTTTATTTATATACCACTCGCCCAGCAAATGTGATATGTTGGGTGAGTTGGTAGCACAAAACAGTGTGACTTAGAAGCACAAGGTGGGATACTATAGAGATGAAATTAGGTACTTTGTAGTTCTACTTTTGAATAAAGTATAGCTTGGACAATTGTTTAATTCATTAGGGAGTATGTTCGATATATTGGCCCATTTATTTGCGCAACGTGTTTACATAGATTTGGTCTGACTCTGGGAATATCGCAGATATTTATTTCTGGTATGATACTAATGGGATCTATTACATCTATCAAGGCTAAGTTTCAAAATTGGATTAGAACTTAGGAATAAGGCTTTGAAAGTGTAAATAGCACAAGAGAATGTATTAGGTGTATGGTCATCATGTTTAGGGATTAACCCCTAAACTGTGCAAAACTGCATATGAAGTTTTGAGAAACTGACGCAAAAGTGCACATTACTGCATATGCAGTTTTGGAGTACAGTACTACGCAAGATTTAAACGGCTCGCGAATACACAGGGTTCACATCACCTTCCTCAGAGCTCTTGTAAACAGACAACATTTAAAAAAAAAAAATCGTGGGCAACATTCCCAGGTGTGAGGGGCCTCAGTACTGAATGAGCCACCAAGGCTCATGCACACAACATGAGCTCAAAGCACTGCTGTTAAGCTTGTGACCACAGCATTGCCTAAAAGTGCCAAAAATATATGAAACTGGTATTACTTAGTGATGATGATATTACAGAAGACCCTTGACTGTGATATAAATGACCAGGATTCTGATAATAGCAGGATTGTTGTGATAATTTATGCTGTGCTGTGGGAGGAGTAATGTTGAGCGGGAGGGCTATAGCGTAGTCTGCCGAATCTGTGTGGCTACCTGTTGCTGTCAGCACTTACTATACCAGCTTAGTGGTTCGCTATGGTGAGCAAAACATGCAGATACTTATATATAACGTCTGTATATAGTGAATAAAAGCAAAAACAGTATGGGGGAGGAGAATGTCAGCGAATCAGGTGAGGTGAGGGAGGGAGTGGCAGCCAGGGGCCGCCACTCCCTGGCTGGCTGGTGTGCCGGCCACTCCTTGCTGCTTTTTGATTCAGCATACCAACTTAGTGGTTCGTTATGGTGAACATAAATGTAGATACTTATATATTACGTGTATATATATAATGTAATAACAGCAAAAGAAGTGTTGGGAGAAGCCATTTTGGTGAGGGAGGTGACATCTTCCTGACTTGTCATGCTGTGTAAGGGTGGCAACTATGCTCTTTGTTCACTATGCCAGCTTAGATGAACAGTTATGGTGAACAAAACATGTAGATACTTATATATAACATCTGTATGTAGTGAATAAAAGCAAAAACAGTATAGTGGGAGCAGGATGTTGGCAAGTGAGGAGTTTTTGAGGGAGGGAGTGGTAGCGAGTGGCTGGCTGGCTGGTGTGTGGTGGCCACTCCTCGTTGCTTTTTGACTCACAATATCAACTTGGTGGTTTATGTTGAACAAAACATGCAGATATTTATATATAACCTGTGTATTTAGTGTAGTAACTGCAAAAGTATTTGTTTATTGTTTTATAAACATAATAATTGAATCAATAATACGCACAGCATAATTTTGAGTACAGCGATGATTCACACTTTTTATTACGTATATAAATATATCACACTACACACTATTGAATAATATTACTGCAAAAACCTAAGAAAAAATCAAAGACATTGAAATAATTAAGTAATAATATCTTTGTGGCAACTCCCGCCTGACAGCTGTAGCAGAGCAGACTGCCTCCGACGCTTGCTCGGTCAACGCCGCCTCTTTTTTTTGCCAGACTTCCCACCCTATTGCGGCCAAAATATGCTACTTACGAGTTTTATATTATTTTTCCTGTGATCAGGGAACACAAATGAACACTTTTATAAGACAAAATCTTTTTTTTTTTATGCGCCTGTGAGTGTCAAAGCCCAAATAGCCTAGAGCAGCTTAGGGGGTTAAGGATATCAGGAAAAGTATAACACTCTAGAGATTTGTTGAATATCAGGGCTATGAGTGGTACAAGAGCAGGGGCAGCACTCTCATATATCATAGATTTTATTTCATTAATGTTCCCAGCTTTGGTTTTAAATGATTGAATTAAGGATATAATGTCTGTCGGGCTGACAGGTAAAAGGAGTAGAGAGTTAGGATAGCTGCCGGCGAGATATGTAGTAACATGTGTCTGGGACTCTGGGATTTTTCTGTTTTTTAGACCCTAGTTTTTTTATCCTAGATCAAAATGCAAGATTTTGTTTATAACCCTTTTGAAGTATTAGTGGCTTTAGGCATTATACTTTTGTCCTACCCCATGAATAATAAAATCTTCTGGTATCCAATGTAGAGTATGTACTTTCTGCTTGAATAAAAATTATTATTATTAAAAAAAATTATTTTGTAATTGCCTTTTTTTCCTACAACCAGCCCTCTTATGCAAACAAGTATAGCCCAGAACTAAACCTCTTATCTAGTATCTATGACAATCATAGGGAGCCGGTCGGCCAAGCGGACAGCACGCTGGACTTGTGATCCTGTGGTCCTGGGTTCGATCCCAGGCGCCGGTGAGAAACAATGGGCAGAGTTTCTTTCATCCTATGTCCCTGTTACCTAGCAGTAAAATAGGTACCTGGGTGTTAGTCAGCTGTCACGGGCTGCTTCCTGGGGGTGGAGGCCTGGTCGAGGACCGGGCCGCAGGGACACTAAAAAGCCCCGAAATCATCTCAAGATAACCTCAAGATCATCACTTTAATGATCAAAATTGCAGATATTTTACAGCACATGATATAAACAATGTATTAACACAAAATCACAATATGTCTGTAATTAACTTGAATGTAAGATCTCTAAGCAAACACTTTGATGATGATAGTACCTTGATTCAAACTGTTGACAACAAATTCTCTTTTGATATACTTATTGAAACCCTGGTTAAAAGAGGATACTACTCAGCTCTTTAACATGCCAAACTACTCAGCAATTCAAAACTGTCGACCAATTCAGAGAGGTGGTGGTACTGCTCTTTACTACCACCAAGAACTGACATGCTTAAAAGTAATTAGAACTAGAGACTCCTGTGGGGAGTATATCTTTGCAAGTTTCAGAGTCAAGGGTGCTGAGTCTGTCCTGACTGTGGGAGCAGTCTACAGAATTCCTAACACTGATGTGTCCAAATTCAACTCTACCCTTAGAAATCTAATACTAGATAACAGACTGAACAAAATCCACCTAATTATTGCAGGGGATTTTAATATTGACCTCTGCGAGCCTGAAAACCCTCCTGCTGCTAGTTTCCTCAACTGAATGAATTCCTGCTTCCTCATACCCTTCATCACTAGACCTACTAGAATCACTTATAGTACTGCCTCTGCTCTTGACCACATCTGGACTAACATAACCTCTTCACTCACTTCAGGGATAATCATTGATAGGACCACAGATCATTACCCCTCATTTCTCCTAACCAACATTAATAAACCACCTCTAGATACAAGGAAAATAAGCTTTAAGCTGCACGATGAAACTTCTATAAGCAACTTTATTGCTGCTGCTGATGCTAATATCAACTGGGAAGCTGAATTAGGTGACATAGTGAACATCAACCTAGCAGTGTAAACATTTCTTCAGAAAACTCTAAACCTTTATAACTTTCACTGTCCAATCTTAACGAAACAAGTTACAAATAAAAGGTTAAACACTCCATGGCTTACAAAGGGTATACTTAAATCTATTAATAAAAACCATGACCTTGAAAAGAAGTATAGGTTAGGAGTCTTCTCCAAAGAATTTTCAAAGATTTACTCATCCATGCTGTCTAAAATAATTAGAAGAGCCAAAGTAAAATACTACAAAAATAAATTTACCCGCATTAAGGGCAACATTAAGAAAACATGGAGCACTATCTCCCAAATATTAAGTTCAAAAAAGATTTTGAATAAAAAACAAATTCTCCTATCCAATGACGATGGTGTGCTTTCGGCCTCAGGCACTGCTATTGAATTCAATAGGTTCTTTTCATCCATTGGTACATCCCTTGCTCACGATATTCCATCCTCACTCACTAATATTAAAAGACTACCTTACAGGTAACTATCCAGAGTCTCTGTACCTAGCTCCCGCTACTTCCTCTGATGTTAATTTTATTTATTTATTTATATACAAAAAGGTACATTGGGTTTGTGAGTATACATAGTATAGTATTTACAATCTTGTAAAGCCACTAGTATGCACAGCGTTTCGGGCAGGTCCTTAATCTAACAGATAATTTTAAGTAGGTAAATTCTAGCAGAATTAATAAAATGATAACAGATACATTGCAAGAAAAAAATGAGATGAGAGAGATTAGTAAGTACTGTATATTAAAGCACATTGGTATATTAAAGCTCTGATTGATTACATTGATAGCTTGATTGGTATTAATGAGGTAATCCTTTCCCTTAAAATTAAGTCAAGCACCCTTAATGAGATACCATCTCTAATTTACAAAAAAAGCCTCCAGATTTCTAGCTCCTGCCATTGCATTGCTCTTCAACAAATCACTTGAACTCCAAACCTTTCCGGATAATATTCTGAAAAAAGCGAGAGTAAACCCAGTCCACAAATGTGGTGATCTCACTGATGTCAACAATCACAGACCTATCTCAATTCTGCCAACCTTGTCAAAAATATTTGAAACGCTAATCTACAAGCAGCTTTACTCATATCTAGCCAAACACAATATACTTAGCACTTGTCAATATGGTTTCAGACCCAATATTTATTTATTTATTTATTTATATACAAGAAGGTACATTGGGTTTGTGAGAATACATAGCATAGTATTTACAGTCTTGTAAAGCCACTAGTACGTGCAGCGTTTCAGGCAGGTCCTTAATCTAACAGATAATTTTAAGTAGGTAAATTCTAGCAGGATTAATAAAATGGTAACAAATACATTGCAAGAAAAAAAATGAGATAAGAGATATTAGTAAGTATATTAAAGCACATTGGTATATTAAAGCTCTGATTGATTACATTGACAGCTTGATTGGTAATTTAAACAAGATTAATAGACACCATACAGCAAATTGACAGCACATATAAGAAGACAGCAATGATCACAATGGTAAGGATGTTTGGATTGGGTACATAAAGATTGGGAGATTGGGTAGCAATAGATACAGTGCAATTTTAAAGCAAAAGAAAAAAAAACTATGAAGATGAAATTAGGTACTTTTTAGTATTGTTTTTGAATGATGCAAAAGTTGGACAGCTTTTCAATTCAGTAGGGAGTGAGTTCCATAAAAGCACTAACGATGCACTTATTAGTATGATTAACTTGATACATACAGCTCTTGATAAATATGAGTTCCCTGTTGGATTATTTGTGGACCTACGTAAGGCTTTTGACACTGTCAACCACCAAAACCTTCATCTTAAATTACATCATTATGGAGTCAGAGGTCACTCCCTGCAATACCTTCAGTCTTACCTTACTGACAGGCTCCAGTATGTTTGTGAATAATTCCATTTCTCCTACACTACCCATAAACATTGGTGTTCCACAGGGAAGCATATTTGGCCCTCTTTCTCATCTACATTAATGACCTTCCAAATGCCTCTCAACACCTCAAACTAATCTTATTTGCTGATGACACAACTTTCATCTTCTCTAGCCCTGTCCCGCTTACTCTAAATGTCACTGTGAACACTGAACTAAATAATGTCCATCTTTGGCTAACTGCTAACAAACTCACCCTTAACATTGACAAAACTTTCTATATTTTGTTTGGTAATAAATCCTCTAATAAAATTAAATCTAAGAATAAACAATATACAAATCAGTAGTAAAGTCGATGGTAAATTCCTTGGTGTCCTCATCGATAACAAACAATTTCCAGGGACATATTCTAAATATAGCAAAAAAAAAGTTTCTATAAAACTGTTGGCATTCTTTCTAAGATAAGATACTGTATTATGTACCTCGCCCTGCCCTGGTGACACACTATTACTCTCTCATCCATCCTTATCTCAACTATGGTATTTGTGCTTGGGGTTCTACTACCCAAAATCATTTACGTCCTCTAATTACTCAACACAAAGCTGCTACTAGAACAATATCTAACTCTGCCCCCAGACAGCACTCGGTACCCTTACTCAAATCTCTGAATGTTAGATATTAAGTCACTGCACATACTCTCATGTGTACTCTATATATTTAAAACTCTGAATTGTAATGTCAATCCTGACCTTAAAAGCTTCTTAGAAAGTTGTAACAGAACTCATGGGCACCATACCAGAAACAAATACCTATTTGATATTCCATGAGTACAACTTAAACTAGAAATGCTCTACAAATCAAGGGACCCAGAATGTGGAATGACCTTCCCAATCATGTTAAAGACTGTACCTCTCTCAACCAGTTTAAGATGAAAACTAAGTACTACCTATTTAACTCCATGTAACCTACCTTACCCCTAAATGTCAACCCATGTCTTACTATTTTCAAACAATGCTGTTTGTTGACCAACTTGTATATTGGCTATTTTCTACCATGTTCCCCACCCCCTTTTTTGTCTTTTATTTTATTTATTTTTAACGCAATTTATACTTAAAGCTCAATTACTATTAAGTTTTAGTCTAAGTGTTTTTCCCCACCTCACCTTGCCCGAAATGCTATGCGTACAAGTTTTATTTATTTATTTATATATATACAAGAAGGTACATTGGGATTGTGAGGATACATAGCATAGCAATTACATTCTTGTAAAGCCACTAGTACGCACAGCGTTTCGGGCAGGTCCTTAATCTAAAAAAATTTTAAGTAGGTAAATAATAGCAAAATTTATAAAAATGATAACAGTTACATAGCAAGAAAAAAAAATAAAAGATAGGAGAAAAATTGTAGGTATATTAAGCACATAGGTAGCTCAGATTGAGTGCAATGACAGCTTGAATGGTAGTTTAACAAAATTTAGCAGGTACAATACAGCATATGGCTAGCACATAAAAGAAGACAGCAACGAACACAATGATAAAGTTGTTTGGGATAAGTACATAAAGATTGCGAGATTGGGTAACACTAAATACAGAGCAAATTTAAAGCTCAGTGTAGGAAACTATAAAGATGAAATTAGGTACTTTTTAGTTTTGTTTTTAAATGAGGCAAAAGTTTGACAGCTTTTAAATTCACTAGGGAGTGAGTTCCATAGACTAGGTCCCTTAATTTGCATAGTGTTTACACAGATTAAGTTTGACCCTGGGGATATCAAAGAGATATTTATTTCTGGTGTGGTGATAATGGGTCCTATTACATCTGTCCAAGAAGAGTTTCAGAGCAGGATTTGCATTTAAGAACAGGGTTTTGTAAATGTAATTGACACAAGAGAATTTGTGGAGTGAGATTATGTTTAGCAAGTTTAGGAATTTAAACAAGGGGCTGAGTGTTGTCTGAAAGCAGTTTGTTATTATTCTGATAGCAGATTTTTGCTGGGTGATGATGGACTTGAGGTGGTTTGCAGTGGTAGATCCCCATGCACAGATACCATAATTATGATAGGGATATATTAGTGCATAATATAGTGAGAGGAGAGCAGAGTTAGGAACATACCTTATTTTCAAGTGGTTTTAGGTATTGGATGTACTAGCTCTATCTATAAATCAATGTTTGTAACTCTGCATCTATGTATGTACGTTTCCTAAATTAATAATAATAATAATAATAATAATATTATTATTATTATTATTATTTTGAGATGTGTGGGTGTGGTACTGGGAGTGCAGCAGCGCCTCCCAGCCGGCGGTCATGCTGATAACTCATTACTCGCCTCCACACTATTAATTCTTAGCTAACCTGTTGACATATGTTTGGCTGCAGCAGCAATAAGTGCCGCCTTAGCTTGGGGACAGTTGACATTAGTGCGGGCGAGGGCTGCTGGCCGCAGCAAGGACTGAAGGTGCAGGAGCCTGACCGCTGCCACTCGTGCCATCTTACAGGGGATACTGAGGCAGGTCACTTCGTACACAACACGGAACCTTCACCATGACGGACACACAATTTTCCGTTTCGTGTATTTCCCTGAGGGCCAGTGACACTATTTATTTATTTATTTATTTATTTAATTTATTTATATATATACAAGAAGGTACATTGGGATTGTGAGGATACATAGCATAGTTTAGTTTAGTTCATTTATTATGCACCCCATACCCATCTTGTGGGCGGTAGTGGAAAGGGTTACAGAGACACATAACGGGCTCAGGGACTGAACTCCACAATTCATTTAGCTAAGCAAGTTACAATCTTGATGAGCTAGTTACAAAATTCAATATAAGTCATCACATCAACAATGGGTTCGAGATCGACCTCAAGTACAGGTTCTAAATTAAGCAACTGACATATGTGGAGAGTTAGTGTCAAAATTTATATGTTTGTCCTGCACACCGCCCCCCATCCAGTGGGCAGCGGTGGATAGGTTACAATCACTTAGTTACTACCTACAGTTAGCAAACTGGGGATATTTGGCTAAAATTTCTGGTAGCAGATCATTTTGAATGAAATATTGACACATCGCTGGAACATTGGTTATAGAATTGTCTCTAAATTCACGTATCTTTTCGCACTCCATCACATAGTGACGGAGGGTGTGCGAATAATTTTGTTGACACAGTTTACATTTGGTCAGGTCTACATCAGCAGATAATGAGAATTCCCAGAGATACTTGTAACCGAGTCTAAGCCGAGCAGTAGTGAATTAACTTAATTAACCCCCTGTCAACTAGTGGGGCTAGGTTTCCTAAGTCACATTGTTTCATTTTCTGACTTAATTTTTAACTTACTCTTAACTAGTCATTTACTGAAATTATTTAATTGAGTGCATAAATAGTTTTTCAGGTCTTATTAATTATACAGTCATAACTGAACTATTTATACAATACAATACAATACAATTTTATTTAGGTAAGGTACATACATACAATAAATATTTACAAGGATTGTTTGACTTATAGGTATAGCTAGTACATACAATGCCTAAAGCCACTATTACGCAAAGCGTTTCGGGCATGATAAACTTAAATGACAAGCTTAATACTAATTGAGCATAATGAGTAGAATGAAAACAAGAAATGAAAACATAGATGAAAAAGCAGCACAAATACAATTATGTCGACAAACAGCGCTCTTTAAAGAAAAAAACAGACATTGGTTGACAATAGAAGGGTAAGGTAGGTTACAGGGAATTTATTAGGTATAGCTTCGCTTTTAACTTAAACTGGTTGAGAGAGGTACAGTCTTTAACATGGTTGGGAAGGTCATTCCACATTCTGGGCCCCTTGATTTGTAGAGCATTTCTAGTTTGATTAAGTCGTACTCTAGGAATATCAAAACTGTATTTATTTCTGGTGTGATGCTCATGGGTTCTGATACAACCTTCTATGAAGCTTTTGAGATCAGGATTGGCATTATAGTTTAGCGTTTTATATATGTATAATACACATGAGAGAATGTGCAGTGACTTAATGTCTAACATATTCAGAGATTTAAGTAGGGGTACCGAGTGATGTCTGGGGCCAGAATTGGATATTGTCCTAATAGCAGCTTTGTGTTGAGTAATTAGAGGACGTAAGTGATTTTAGGTAGTAGAGCCCCAAGCACAAATACCATAGTTGAGATATGGATAGATAAGGGAGTAATAGAGAGTCACCAGGGCAGGGCGTGGTACATAATATCTGATCTTAGAAAGAATGCCCACAGTTTTTGAAACTTTTTTTGATATGTTTAGAATGTGTCCCTGGAAATTAAGCTTGTGGTCAATGAGAATGCCAAGGAATTTGCCATCTAATTTGTTACAAATTTGGGTATTGTTTATTTTGAGATTTATTTGATTAGAGGATTTATTGCCAAACAGAATATAGAAGGTTTTGTCAATGTTAAGGGTGAGTTTGTTGGCAGTTAGCCACAGATGGACTTTATTTAGCTCAGTATTTACTGTGGCATTTAGAGCAAGGGGATCAGGACTGGAGTAAATGAAGGTTGTGTCGTCCGCAAATAGAATTGGTTTGAGGTGTTGGGAGGCATTTGGAAGGTCATTAATGTAGATGAGAAAGAGGAGAGGGCCAAGTATGCTGCCCTGGGGAACACCAATGTTGATGGGTAGGGTGGGAGAAATTGTATTATTCACAGAAACATATTGGAGCCTGTCAGTAAGGTAGGATTTGAGGTATTGTAGGGAGTGTCCTCTGACTCCATAATGATGTAATTTAAGAAGAAGGTTTTGGTGGTTGACAGTGTCAAAAGCTTTACGCAGGTCCACAAACAACCCAACAGGGAACTCATTTTTATCAAGAGCTGTATGAATCGAGTTAAGCATACTAATAAGTGCATCGTTAGTGCTTTTTTTGGGTCTGAAGCCATATTGGCAAGGGCTAAGTATATTGAGTTTGGCTAGATATGAGTAAAGCTGCTTATAGATTAGTTTTTCAAAAATTTTTGACAAGTTTGGCAGGATAGATATAGGTCTGTAGTTGTTAACATCTGTGAGATTACCACATTTGTGGACAGGCGTTACTCTCGCTTTTTTTAGAATATCTGGGAAGGTTTGGAGTTTGGATTTATAGTTAATAATCATTAGCTTAAATTTGCCTATGCTTATTATTCAACTTTTCTTTGATTTCATTTATTACCTAGGTTGCCTAGCCTCGCCATGCTCCCTTACTCCATTGTACCCCTGGCTTTGCCTGCATCTGAAATTGCAAATTGTTACTTACAGTGTACCTGAGGGTACTTGTAAGCAATCTACCTCATTTTTCCTTTTTGCTCAATTTGTTTTTGTATTGCTTAGTCTTGTTTATATTTTTGTTTTGTATTTCTATATCTTGTGTTTTGTATAGTCCATGTTTATATGTTTTTTCGTTAATCTCATTTATTACCTAGGTTGCCTAGCCTAGCCATACTCCCTTACTCCATTGTACCCCTGTAAGCCCCTTTTGTGTTTGCTTTGTACAGTATTGTGTACATTTTTTTCCCTATTTTATAGCTTATTTCTACCTTGTTATTTGCCTTTCTTCCCTTGTTTTTCCTGCAATCAGCTTTTTTTTTATGCAGACAAGTATAGACCCTGAACTTAACCTCTTATCCACTATCTATGACAATTATCACTTTAATGATCTAAATTGCAGATATTTTGCAGCACATGATGTAAACAATGTATTAACTCATAATCACAATATCTCTGTAATCAATTTGAACGTTAGATCCCTAGGTAAACACTTTGATGATGTTAGTGCTTTGATTGAAGCTATTGACAACAAATTCTCTTTTATTATACTTACTGAAACATGGTTGAAAGAGGATACTACTCAGCTCTTTAACATGCCTAACTACTCAGCAATTCACAACTGTCGTCAACTTCAGAGAGGTGGTGGCACTGCTCTTTACTACCACCAAGAACTAACATGCTTAAAAGAAATTAGAACCAGAGACTGCTATGGGGAGTATATCTTCGCCAGCTTCAGAGTCAAGGGTGCCGAGTCTGTCCCGACGGTGGGTGCAGTTTATAGAATTCCTAACACTGATGTGTCCGAATTCAACTCAAACCTTAGAAATCTAATATTTGATAACAGACTGAACAAAAACCACCTAATTATCGCAGGGGACTTTAATATTGACCTCTGCGAACCTGAACACCCTACTGCTGTTAGCTTCCTCAACTGTATGAATTCCTGCTTCCTCATACCCTTAATCACTAGACCTACTAGAATCACTGATAGCACTGCCACGACGCTAGATCACATCTGGACAAACATAACCTCTCCGCTTACTTCAGGTATAATCACCGATAGCACTACAGACCATTACCCCACATTTCATTAGCAAACCACCTCTTGAGTCAAGAGTGATACGTTTTAGACTACACAATGAAACTGCTATAGACAATTTTATAACTGCTGCTGATAATGTCAACTGGGAGTCCGAGTTAGGTAACATAGTGGACATCAACCTAGCAGTGCAATCTTTTCTTCAAAAAACTCTTAGCCTTTATAATACCCACTGTCCTATGCTTACAAAACAAGTCACAACCAAAAGGCTAAACAATCCCTGGCTTACAAAGGGAATACTTAAATCTATTAATAAAAAACATGACCTTGAGAAGAAGTATAGGTTAGGAATTGTCTCCAAAGAATTCTCAAAGAATTACTCATTATTGCTGTCTAAGATAATTAGACGAGCCAAAACTAAATACTACGAAGATAAATTTACCCAAATAAAGAGCAACATTAAACAAACTTGGAGAACAATTTCTCAAATATTGGGATCAAAGAAGTCTTTAAATAACAAACCGACTCTCCTGTCTAATAACGATGGTCAGCTTTCAGCCTCTGATTCTGCTATTGAGTTCAATAGGTTCTTCTCTTCCATTGGTTCATCCCTTGCAAATGATATTCCATCTTCCAGTACAGACATTAAGGACTATCTTACAGGTAACTATCCACAGTCTCTGTACCTAAAGCCTATTAATTCCACTGACGTCAATGAGATAATCCTTTCCCTTAAAACCAAGTCTGGTGCCCTTGAGGAGATACCAACTTTTATTTACAAAAAAGCCTCCAGATCTTTAGCCCCTGCTATTGCTTTGCTCTTCAACAAGTCACTTGAACTCCAAACCTTCCCAGATATTCTAAAAAAAGCGAGAGTAACGCCTGTCCACAAATGTGGTAATCTCACAGATGTTAACAACTACAGACCTCTATCTATCCTGCCAAACTTGTCAAAAATTTTTGAAAAACTAATCTATAAGCAGCTTTACTCATATCTAGCCAAACTCAATATACTTAGCCCTTGCCAATATGGCTTCAGACCCAAAAAAAGCACTAACGATGCACTTATTAGTATGCTTAATTCGATTCATACAGCTCTTGATAAAAATGAGTTCCCTGTTGGGTTGTTTGTGGACCTGCGTAAAGCTTTTGATACTGTCAACCACCAAAACCTTCTTCTTAAATTACATCATTATGGAG